GGCTTGAGCCACCGCGCCCGGCCTAATTTTTTTTTTCTGTGTGCACTTGTGTGTGTATGTGAGAGACAGAGAGTGAGAGAATCTCACTTTGTTGCCCAAGCTGGAGTACCATAGCACAATCAGGCTCATTGCAGCCTCAATCTCCTGGGCTCAAAGGATTCCCTCACCTCAGCCTCCCGAGTAGCTAGGACCACAGGTGTACCCAATACACTCAGCTAATTTTTCTTTTTTAATATTTTTTCTTGGATGCTGAACTCAGGTGCAAATCCTGGTACACCCAGCTAATTTTCTGGTTTTGTAGAGATGAGGTTTCACTATGTTGCCCTGGGTGAGCTCCAATTCCTGGCCTCAAGTGATCCTTCTACCTTGGCTCCCCAAAGTGCTGGATTATAGGTGTGTGCCTAGTTTATGTGTTTTTCTTTTTAACTAAGATTTATTGAGCTGCTGTAGCTGGCCCTATGCTAAACATCTACATGTGAAAACTACATGTAATCTCAGTCAGCATGTGAGGGAGGTGCTCCCTTGCCCCCGTCATACCCTGGCTGTGGGGCCAAGTGGACTTGGGTTCAAATGCAGCAGCCGAGTAATCCTTTGCACAGCTGACCTCACCTTTCTGAGCCTCAGTTTTCTCATTTGTAAAAGAAGAATAATGGTATTAATAACTCATGTGATCCTCTTTAAAAAAAAAAAAAAAAAGAGTCTCTGTCTCCCAGACTGCAGTACAGTGGTGCTATCTTGGCTCACTGCAACCTCTGCCTCCCAGGTTCAAGCAGTTCTCCTGTCTCAGCCTCCCAAGTAGCTGGGATTACAGGTGCCCACCACCACATCCAGCTAATTTTGTTTTTTGAGACAGAGTCTCACTCTGTCATCGAGGCTAGAGTACAGTGGCACGATCTCGGCTCACAGCAACCTCCGCCTCCCGGACTGAAGCAATTCTCATGCCTCAGCCTTCTGAGTAGCTGAGATTACAGGTGCGTGCCACCACACTCGGCTAATTTTTTTGTATTTTTGGTAGAGGCAGGGTTTCACTATTGTTGGCCAGGCTGGTTTCGAACTCCTGACCTCAAGAGATCCGCCTGCCTCAGCCTCCCAGAGTGCTGGGATTACAGGCATGAGCCACTGTGCCTGGCCTGTATAGATGTGGAAACTGTGGCACAGAGAGGTTGAGATCCTTATCCAAGGTCACCGCTTTGTAACTGGAGGAGCCAGTTTGCTGCCAGCTGTGTGGTGTGCTCTGTGGTCCTAACAGCTGCACAGTGGGAGAGAGACACTTCCTTGGGGGTGGCTGGGGCGCAGGTGAGGCATGAACTAGGGAGCAGAGTGGGACGGTAGACCTGTGTACAGGCCCCACGTGCACACCCGTAGCAGCCAGCTCAGGGTCTGTGCCACCAAAGGCTCTAGACATTTCCAGTGAGTGGATCAGCAGCAGTGGACCTGGGACAGCTCAGCCACCGCCGCTGCTGCTTGTCCTATCTCGGGTTTCAGGTTCCGGGGCGGCAGGCCAGAGCAGGAAGAGGAAGTGCTGGGGGTGGGGAGGTGGCAGGAGACACTGGCTGCTGGAGGGGGCTCCCCTCTTCCAGGTGTGGGCAGGCCTGGGGACAGAGACCAGTGAGCTACAGGATGTGGCCCTCCACCTGCCATGCCCTGGTGGCCCTCTCCACATCTTGTGTCCAGCACCCACATGTGCTGTGACACCCTCACCCGCATGGACTCAGAATTCTCAGGGCTGGCTTTAGGCCACCAAAGATCTTAAACATGGTAGAAATCCTGATGGCACTGCCCCAAATTTATATGAGCTTGAAATGTTTTGTAAACGCCTGGGCTGAAAAGTACATACCGTCATCTATTGTGGGCATTCTTAGGCAAAAGCCTGCAGATCCCGTTTAAATTGTCAGAAAAGTCCTATGAATAAATGATACTCAGCTGTTTTAAGGAGAGTGTTCACCATCTTCAGATTCTCAAAGGTGTCCGACCCCAAGTCAGATCTACGTTGTGACCTTCATCTCGCCGCTTCCCCTCCTTTTACGGGTGGAGAGGAGGGTCTTGGCCAAAGTTACCCGGCAAGCAGGCAGTTACGGAGCTGGAACAAGGGTCTGCTGATCTGGCCTGGCGCCATTCGTTCTTCCTGAACGTGCCCCTCTGCAGGAGGGTAGAAGCCCCCAGGAGGATGTCATAGCGTCTGGGTTAGGGGTGAGGTTCCTAAACTGAGTCGTAATAAATCTCAATTTTATTGAGGGTTTGTTGTATGCTGGATACTACCTATTTTACGTGGATTAACTCTCAATCCTCACAAGAAGCCTTCGAGGCTTGTACCATTATTCCCGTTTTACAGATGTGGAAACAGAAGCACAGAAAGTTGAAAGAGCTTGCCAGAGTCACACAGCCTAATACAGGGCAGGGGAGTCAGGGTTCAAGCCAGGCAGGCTGCAAAAGGAAAGTGGTGGGGATAAAAAAAGAATGGTGGGGAAGGAAGGGGCCCATACCCCTATCTAGGGTTGAGAGGGGTGAAGCCAGGAATTCCCTGCCTGCTGGGGACCAGGCTGGTGTGTGGCTAATGGAGAAACCTCAGCATTAGGCTTCCCACTCTAAGCCTGCCACATACATAGCAAACACTTTATAAAGAGTCACTGTCCTTGATGGAATTCCACTGTCTCCCTACCCCCCTCCCTCCAGCCCTCATGGCTTGAACCTGGTCACATGCCCACCGCCAGCTGCTCCCTGCCCAGATCTGATGAGCTGGCTCCTTCGCATAGGGGTGATTTGCAAGGCCCAGGTGAGGAGCAGCGAGTGTCTGGCCCGAAGCATGCCCCTGGTGACCTCGGGTCCACCGGTCTCCAGGAACTGGGGGCTACTGGTGCGTCAGCCCTGGGGATGGGGAGGAGATGGCCCTAGGGCACACTGGCCCCAGGCCGCACCAGGGCTAAGCCCATGGCTTCTGGGAAGCCTGCTCGGAACTTGTCAGGTCGTGCACTGTGTTCTCAGAAGGGCCTGGGTGTGCCCTGGGAGGGCAGCCACTACCCCTCTCCATGTCCCCAGCGCAGGGCATGAAGGAGAAGCCTCTGCTTGGGTGTGAGGATGTGGGGCCAAAAGGACTGGTAGCTGGTGATTGCTTTTTTTCCTGCTTTTATTTTAACCATAGTAAAATATGCGTAACAAAACTTACCATTTTGACCATTGATGGTGGTTGGTTTTTAATTTAATTTTTAACTTTTTTTTAGTTATTATTTTTTTTTTTTTTTGAGATGGAGTCTTGCTCTGTTGCCCAGGCTGGAGTGCAATGGCACAATCTCTGCTTACTACAACCTCTACCTCCTGGGTTCAAGCAATTCTCCTGCCTCAACCTCCTAAATAGCTGGGATTATTGGCGCGTGCCACCATGCCCAGTTAATTTTTGTGCTTTTAGTAGAGACAGAGTTTCACCATCTTATCCAGGCTGGTCTCGAACTCCTGACCTCAGGTGATCCACCTGTCTCGATCTCCCAAAGTGCTGGGATCACAGGCATGAGCCACTGCACCCAGCCTTATTTTATTCTTTAATTTAGAGACAGGGTCTTGCTCTGGTGCCCAGACTGGTGGGCAGTGGTGCAGTCATGGCTCACTACCACCTCAAACTCCTGGGCTCCAGGGATCCTCCCGCCCCAGACTCCCAAGTAGCTAGAACTACAGGTACACACCACCACCCCCAGCTATTACAAAACTTTTTTTGTAGAGATGGGGTTTCTTTGTGTTGCCCGGGCTGCTCTCAAACTCCTGGTCTCAAGCAGTCCTCCCACCTGGGCCTCCAAAGTGTTGAGATTATGCATGTGAGCCACTGTGCCTGGCCTGCAGTTGGCTTCTAGTACCTGGCCAGGTGGTAATAGGAGTGATTTGGGAGGTGGTTACCATGTGCCAGCTCTCATTTAATTGTTTTTTTT